TGCCCAGGCTGGTCTTGAACTCCTAAACTCATGCTATCTGCCTTCCTTGGCTTCTCAAAGTACTGAGATTACAGGTGTGAGATACCATTCCTGGCCAGCTTGTGTAATTTTAGTGACTTAAAACATAAATTGGTGTCCCATAGCTGGGCACGGTGGCTCATGCCTGTAATCCCAGCACTTTGGGAGGTTGAGGCGGGCAGATCACCTGAGGTCAGGAATTCGAGACCAACCTGGCCAACATGGTGAAACCCCATCTCTACTAAAGTAACAAAAAATTAGCTGGGTGTGATGGCACGTGCCTGTAGTTCCAGCTACTAGGGAGGCTGAGGCACAAGAATCACTTGAACCCAGGAGGCGGAGGTTGCAGTAAGCTGAGATCACGCCATTGCACTCCAGCCTGGGCAACAAGAGCGAAACTTTGTCTCAAAAAAAATAAATAAATAATAATAATAATAATAAATAAATTGGTGTCCCACAAAATGAAGATTTTTTTTTCTGATAAGCATGTATACATAAGATTTATGTCAACTCAGTAATCATTTAGGAGGTTTTACTTCCTGAGAGATTTTCTTTAATGAAAAAATTTTCTCAAGTCAGATTCCTAGGGTGTCTAAGTCAATGCCAAGAAAAGTTTGGAAAGACTTTGAGAGAAGGCCAGCCCGGCATCTTTCTTGGAAGCAGAGGTAGATTTGGTTTCACATAGCCCTACTGGAAGTGATAAAAGGGAAGAATTCTTTAGGAATCACTGTGATATTTACTTTACATGCTAGGGACATAAATTTCTTTTTAAAAAAAGGAATCACTGTGGTGTAAAATACTATTAAAATTTCTTTAAAAGTCTAAAGCTGGGCTGGATATGGTGGCTCACACCTGAAATCCCAGCACTCTGGGAGGCCAAGACAGGAGGATTGCTTGAGGCCAGGCATTCAAGAGCAGCCTGGAAAACAAATCAAGACCGCATTTATATATTTTTTAAAAAATTAGCTGGATTTGGTGGCACTCACTTGCAGTCCCAGTTACTCAGGAGGCCAGGGCAGGAGGATTGCTTGAGCCAGGAATTGGAGGCTTCAGTGGGCTATGATGGCACCACTGCACTCTAGCTTGAGTAAGCTTCACCTGCTGCAGACCTGTCTGTGTCTATGCACACCTAAAGTGCAGGAAGGAAACGATCAGTTTTGTCATCTGAAAGGGGAAAAGAGATGGTCAAACCCGGCCTTCTGCTTACTTCACAGGAATGCCAGAAGAGCCAGTAGAATGGGAAGTGCTTGGATCTTTGGGGACATGGGCATTTATGTATCATTCAGCCTTGTGGCTTGAGGAAGCACGTCACCAGAGAAGACAGATCGAAGGCTCCATGCCCAGGGCCTGGCTGGCTTTCTGCTGGGCTTACACCATTCTTTGCCTCTTTAGGGCTTTGTAGGTGGTCAGGGTTGGTTTTCCAGAATGAAGTTCCCCCCAAAGTTGGAGCCCCTCCTGACTGGTTACCTCGACTACTACAGGGCTTCCCAATGTTACGGGAAGATTCAGTCCCCTTACTAGGCTCCTCCTTGTTCTCCACAGCAAAATCGATAGTGGGAGGGGCCTGGAGTAGGGAGCAGCCTCAGTCAATTACAAGGGGTTACCTGGTGATATGGTTTGGCTGTGTCCCCATCCAAATCTCATTTGGAATTGTAATAAACCCCAAGTGTCAAGGGCAGGGCCAGGTGGAGATAATTGAATCATAGGGGCAGTTTTCCCCATACTGTTCTCGTGGTAGTAAATAAGTCTCATGAGATCTGATGGTGGAGTTCCCCTGCACATGCACTTTTTGCCTGCTGCCGTGTAAGATGTGACTTTGCTCCTCCTTTACCTTCCGCCATGATTGTGAATTGTGAATAGCCATGTGGAACTATGAGTCAGTAGCCTCTTTCCTTTATAAATTACCCCGTCTCGGGTACATCTTGATTAGCATCACGAGAACAGACTAATACAGTGAATTGGTACCTGGAGTGGGGTGCTGCTGTAAAGATACCTGAAAATGTAGAAGCGACTTTGGAACTGGGTGACAGGCAGAGGTTACTGATGGAAGGTATCCAGGTTCTTGGCATCTTGAACAAATAATTGGACAAAATGCACAAACAAAGCAAGGAAAGCAAAAGCAGAGATTTATTAAAAACGAAGGTACACTCCACAGTGTGGGAAGTGGGCCTGAGCATCAGGGCTCAAGAGCCCCCATTACAGAGTTTTCTGGGGTTTTGATACTCTAGAGGTTTCCCTTTGGTTACTTGGTGTGTGCCCTGTGTAAATGAGAATGGAGTGAAGTTACAAAGTCATTTACTCAGAGTGTGTCCAATGTAAATGAAGAGGATGTTACTTGGCGTGTGTCATCTACGTAAATAGGATGAATGTGAAGTTACAAAGTGTAAATGGAGAGGATGTTACTTGGAGCGTGTGGGCTATGTAAATGGAGACGATGAATGTGAAGCTACAAAGTGTAAATGGTGTAAATGGAGAGGATGAAGTGAAGTTACAAAGCCATTCACATTTCTTTTTTTTTTTT